TTCTTGAAAGGTATGAAAAAGGAAAAATTGGATTAGAGGCTATTCTTAGCCAACAAAGATTTTCAAATGATAAAAGTGGACTTGGTTACTCAAAATTTTCTAAACCAAGTTCCAACAAAACCATCTTTGTTAAAGCTAGTGAACAACCTCCAAAAGAGAAAGTGGTCAAGCCTAAAATGGTTCATCAATACCCCAAGAAGAAGGTTGTTAATAAGAAAAAAAACCTTATCCTTCTAGATACAAGAGTAATTTTGAGCCCACTTGTTTTTATTGTGGTATCAAAGGCCATACACCTAATGCCTGTTATGTTAGAAACTTTAGTGTTGCAAAGGGGCATTATGTGTGGATCAAGAAAGGCACTAACTATGAAGGACTCAAGGCAAGTTGGGTACCTAATGAAACTTAATCTTGTTTTGTAGGTATGCTTAAAGACCTCCTAATATCAGTGGTATCTTGATAATGAGTGTTCAAGGCATATAACAGGTGACATTACCAAATTTTCACATCTAACGCTTAAGGCCAAAGGATTTGTAACCTATGGTGATAACAACAAAGGAAAGATCCTTGGCGTAGGCAGCATTGGTGCACCACCTTTTACAACCATAGAAGATGTCCTTTATGTAGAAGGCCTAAAGCATAACCTACTTAGCATTAGTCAGCTTTGTGATAAAGGTTTTAGAATCAACTTCACTAAAGATGAATGTTTGATAGAAAACGAAGTCACTTCTGAGGTAATGTTAAAAGGTAATAGAATCAATAATATTTTTATGATTTCCCTTGATAACATATCTTTGAAGGTTAGGTGTCTTATGGCGAACAACAACGACTCTTGGTTATGGCACAAAAGGTTTGCTCACATTCATATGGAGCACTTGAACAAATTGATCAAACGTGACTTAGTTGTTGGTCTTCCAAAGATCAAATTCATCAAAGATAGATTATGTGGTGCATGCCAAAAAGGGAAACAGACCAAATCAACTTTCACATCCAAAAATATGGTGTCCACAACTAGGCCACTACAATTGTTACACATGGATCTCTTCGAACCTTCAAGAACAAAAAGTTTTGGAGGTAATGTTTATGCATTAGTAATTGTTGTTGACTTCTCTAAATATACATGGACTTTCTTCTTAGTGCAGAAAAGTGAAGCTTTTAAGGAATTCAAGAAGTATGCAAAATAGATTCAGAATGAGAAGTCACTTTCAATTGTCTCCATTATAAGTGACCATGGTGGAGAATTCCAGAACACTCTATTTGAAGAATTCTGCGAGGAAAATGGAATCTCACACAATTTCTCTGCACCAAGAACTCCACAACAAAATGCTGTCGTAGAAAGAAAGAATCGGTCGTTGGTAGAACTTGCAAGAACAATGCTTAGTGATTCAAACCTTCCTAAATATTTTTGGGCAGATGCAGTAAGCACAGCGTGTTTTGTAAGTAATCGTGTGAACATCAGGCCAATTCTCAAGAAAACCCCCTATGAACTGTTCAAAGGAAGAAAACCAAACATATCCTTCTTCCACATATTCGGGTGTAAATGCTTTGTCTTGAACAATGACGAAGACAATCTCGGTAAGTTTGACGAGAAATTCGATGAAGGTATTTTTCTCGGCTATTCTCTCTCAAGTAAGGCTTTCAGAATTTTTAACAAAAAAACTTTAACTATTGAAGAATCTATGCATGTTTCTTTTGATGAATCTAACCCCTCCAAGGAGGATGATATTATTGTTAATGATGATGATGATGTAGTAGAAACCTCTCAAGAAAACACTCTCAAGTCGAAAGGGGAGTGGAGTATCCTCGGAGTGTGAGGGGAACCACTATAATTTCCTGTGTCTCTTTTACTTTCTGCCTTTACAAGCTTTCATATCATCACTCCGCTAAAAGAAAGTAACATAACTCTCTTAAAAACCAGAAAATTTCAAAAGAACATAATTCACCCCCCTCTTAGGCGCAATTCTTACTTACATGCAGGTTGAAGGCGACATAATTCAGATGTTGAACAGGCTTATGATCACAAATGCACTGAGCAAAATTTTGATATTGGACTGGTGGTTGCTATTGAATCGGGTACCGACTAAAGTAGTTTTGGCTAGAAGAGGAATCATCTACGGAACTCACAGTATGTCCATTTTGTTTGATTGAAGTCAACTCCATTTCTTATCTATTTGTCAAATGTAGGAAGGTGTCAGAAATATGAGACAAGATATTCTTATGGATGGAAATTTCATGTCAAACTCATGTGGATGTTTCAAACACAAACTTTACTTGCTTTTTTTCTTCCATAAAAGTTAGGGTGAACAAAAAGCTTAGACTTCTCGCTTGGTTAGCGGTTTGTTGGTCGATTTGGATTAGCAGGAATGAAATGGTTATTAAGGGTGCTTCTTTTCAGGTAGAAAATTTGGTAAGTAGGACCAAAGTGTTGTCTTGGGATCGGTTCGTAGCTAGAAGCAAAGTCTCGATTGATTGTTGTTGGGTCGATTGGTGCACCAATTCGTTGTTTTGTCTTGCCAACTCAATTGGATTTTTAGTCTAGTCTTGAGATTAACAATTCCATTGTATATCCTATCTCTCGTAAGAGTTGAGTAATCCTAATACTCCTTCTCATTAATACAAGTTTTGTTTATATGTGTTGCATTTCTCTTATATTTCTCTTTTCTTTTAACTCTCTCTTTATTAGTTCTCTCAAATCAAACAAAGCCTAAAAGATAACTGAAGTAGTGTTTAATGAGATTTAAAGAACTTGCAATGTAGATTTAACCAAGGTAAAATGTCATATAACCACTTTTCTACTTATGTGGCGTTAAGGGTGGACAAAAAAGGTTGAACCGACCGAAATCTAGTCCATTTGATAAAAATTGCAAGCATTTGAATGGGTCAAATCGGATCACGGGTCCATCGATCATTTTTTTTTCTCAATTTAGCATAGATATAACTGGTCGAAAATAAATGTCAAATTTTGATCCAATTAAATCCGAGACCGACCGATTCAATATATAGATTAATTAGTTTCATTTTAATACATTTATTATTACTATAGAATGAACGTGATATGTCATAAAATATGAAAAATTAGTATAACTTTATGATATAGCCTTTAGCGTAACTTTACCATAAATCAAATTTATTAATATCTTAACTTAAAAAAACTTAGTATGTTTTACTGATGTATTTGTTTTGATGTATTGAAGTATTTCTCCTCTTCTTGAAAAGCCATCATCCCTCTCACAAATTTGGTTCTCCATCACCACTACCACCACCATAACCTTTACAACTTCTTTCTTATTTTCTCTTTTTTTTCATTCATCATTATCATTATTGATATTTAATTTTATTGTTTGTAAATATTTATTCTTCTTATATACACATAATCAATCTTAAATCATTTCATATTTATAGGGTGTTCTATATATTCTTCTATCTATTTCTCTAGTTTTTGTGTGGTTTTGACTGTAAGACATTTTCTTTTTTATTTATAAGATGAGAAATCGAATTATACGAACCGATCAATCCGTCATCCAAAATACCGACCATCCAATTTAACCGCTGAAAAAATGGTAGAAAGTGGGTTTCATTTAATCAATCGTGGATGACCATCAGATTAGAATTTTGAAACCAACTTCAACAACCAACTTCAACTGAATCCAATCCGTGTCCACCCTAAGTGGCGTGATAAAGGAAGAAAAAAAAATACTATTTTATACAATTACGATGTATTTTATTGTTCACTGATACGGTGAATAGTGAAATATTATAATAATATATTTTTTAAAAAAATATAAAAAATTAATTTTTTAATTTTTAGATTAAATAATATTGATATAAAATTATATGATTAACCAACTTCATAATTTCATTAACTAGTTTTTTATATTTTATTAATCAATTTTATTTGTTGTTAAAAATTATTTTTAATATTTGAACGTTCATTAACTAGTTTCATATATTTATTAATCAACTTTTTATTTTTTATTAACCAATTTTAATTTATTATTAAAAATATTTTTAACATCTAAATATTTATTAATCAATTTAATCACTTAATTAATTAATTTTGTTTCATTACTTGATACTAGTCATTATCGTATAAAAAGGATGACCAATGAATAAGGTGTATATATTTGATGTAAAAGTGACGTAGAAATAAATGAAGTGATTAGAAGAGAGAGAAGAAATATAAAATTAACCCCAAACATCACTTTCCATGATGTGTATGGATGCATATTCCCTTAATTATATGTTTAAGTATGACAAGGTTGGCAGATATTGAAGTTTATAAGTTAGCATATGATGCTAGTATGGATGGTTACTCTCTCACTAAGTATTTTTAAGAGTTGACATTTCTCTCATATATAAATAATGTAGTTAGTTGTTAATAATTATATATACACGTGGTTTAGTGGAAAAGGAAAATGGCTTAGTGATATATATAATATAGTTATTAAATTAATTTATAATAAAATAGAAAAATGGTGAGAGAAGTTGGAGACACCCGTTAAATGACTTAACAATTTTTATATATCAAATTTTTGTCCCAACTTTAATCTAAATGTTTTTAAAATTCAAAATAATGAAATATATTATTTTATTTTTTAATAAATTTAATAATAGATTTAATTGAAATATATTGACAATATAAAATATTTTATATTAATAATTAATTATAAATGCTGAATGTAAAAAAGTTTAATCTTTATTTTAATAATATATAAAATAATATAATCGAATGATAATGATAAATTCACATTGTAAAATTTTATTCTTTCATATAAAAATATGTTGTAACGATGGTTAATCAGAACTATTAAACTTTTATATATAGTTGATTTTTAATTTAATTACATATAACTATAACATGAGAAAAAAATGATATGGACTAATTTTACAGTATCATCTTGATAAAATACAACCTTTTATTTTTAAAGTTGAGAGAGAACGAGTTAACATACCTTACCAAAAAGAATATTATATAGGGGGGAGATGAGTCTGAGAGACGATTGATGAAGGAGAGAATGACGGAAGCTTGCATCCGAACCGCCGTAGAAGCCATACACTCCTCTCCATACCAAGCTGTTCTCTATCTTGCCGGTGGAGCTTCTCAGGTTTTCTTCTCCTTCTCTCTCTGCGTGCTTTTGTATGTGCACGAATTGAATTATCGAATCCATGTGATCAGGCTCTAGGTTTACTGCTATCTGTTCCTGGTGCCTCAAATACCGTGCTCGAAGCTGTCGTTCCTTACTCTAGAATGTCTTTGATCCAGTTACTTGCCAAGGTCCCTTTCTTTTTCATCATCAATTTCATCACTATACGAATCTAGTTGCACTCATTCTCTTTATTGATTTTTTTCCTGTAGATTCCATCCCAATTTTGTAGTCAACAGACTGCCGAAGATATGGCTTTATTGGCTTACAACCGTGCTCTTAAACTCTCCACTCCAGGTTGATATTTTTCGTTTTTCAGCTTATTTTCGTAAGCAAGGTTTTAAATAACGGTCAAGGTTGCCTTGCGCTCGCCTAAAAGCTTTTGCAATTTTGGCCGGTACAAGTGTTGCAACATTGTCGTAGCGTGTGAATTAATCACAATTTGTTCTTTATGGTAAAAACGGAAAATATCAGTATCAATATCAGCAATTTCTGAAACCGTTTTGTTGCGCTGTTTCGCGATAATTGACAGTTTTTTAAAACCTTGTTTGACTTTACCTTTCAAAGATAGCTTATGAAGAAAACTTATAATGAAAACAGTTTGACTTTGATTTTTCTTTTGCTATAGAAATAACTTAAATACAAGTACTTATATGCCTAAAGTGCTTAATTAAGTTATTTATCCAAACAGACTCTTATGTCGAATGCATTTTACTTGTTGATTAGGATCCCCGGTTGTTGGCGTGGGCTTCACTGGTTCTTTGGTGAGCAGTCGCCCGAAGCATGGGGAACACAGGTAGTTTTTTCTAAATTTACTTTTATTAGAAATGGTTGATGAAACTTACCTTATTCAGTTTCAGCATATTTGTAAGCTTTTCAATAGTTTTTTTATATGCTCAAATTCTGAAAAGGTTTTCTGTGGGACTATATTGCCACATTACTGGATTTGTATATACAAGTTTCCTCCATCTCACAGGCTTATTGCCAATGGGATTCCTTATTATGTTTGAAGATGTCATACCTTGATTTCACCTTACGGACCTTAGAGTTAATTTTCTGTTTAGGTTAATAAGTTTATAGAAGATCTTGCAAAGCTAATCTAGCAACACCATGTGAAGCTACCCTAGGAATGTCGATACGTTAAACTTATTTGTATTGAAAACAGGGCTAGTTTAATGTGATTGGTTTGTAGATCATGTTTTATTGGAAAGCATTGATAAGCTAGGTGGAATTTAACAAAAATTGGAAATAAACTGCTACAAACTCTTGGATTGTAAAAAGTTGTGTTTTGGGAACTATTTGTAGAGTGTACTTGTTCAAGAATGAGACAATACAAACTGTTATCTACAAAGACTGAAATTAGTTAAATACGCTCTGGATTTATTTTGGTAATCATATATAGAATGTAATATTGAGATTGTCATCATCTACCACGCGAGATTTATAACGAGGGAATATATTTTCTCATTGTTCTCTTGCTATTGATCATTTGCTCATGACTTCCTGCAAAGATATGTTTTTGAAAATGCAGCTAGCGGTATTAGTCATGAGTATATATAAATTAAGATACTAGACACTCATGACTTGGTACAAGTTAAACTCAAACCATATAGAAGTGTATTACTTCGGCTTTTCAAGTTACCTCTGGATTTATTTTGTATAATTTGATTTGACGAAGACTAGTCATATCTGAACTTCTTTTATTTTCATTTATAGATTTTATATGTCAACAAGGACAGCCAACCGACTTTGGATATCAAGAGTGACCTTGACCAAGGTTGTTATTCTGAACTTGAGGCTAAACATGTGACTTTCATGCGCGCGCTCACACACATGAATTTGCTAACATACTCCCACTTATTTATTAAAAGAAGTATATTAGCAGACTATACATTTTTTATTTGGACAAAAAACTCATTCTCTTTTTTCTAAAATATCATTGAAGTCAATGGATATTAATGTAATTCACAATAGTCATACACTAAAAAGCTAGGAAGTAACCTCAGATAGAACAACACTGCTATATCCTTGATAAACTTTGCATTTAGAAAAGAGTGAATTGAGAAGCAAAATTGTAATTTGGAATCAATTCAAACAAATAAAGGGAAAAAATAGAGTCAGGAGTAATAACTAGAGACACCAAAAATGAAATGTGAGAAGATTGCACTTTGTTTTTGTGACCCTGTCTTCAATTTCGCACGAAGAATAAGCATCTCTGGTTTCTATCGTTGGTGGAGTGAGAGTTATACTTTGAAATTGTAATTTGGATTTCAAAAATAAAAATTGCAATTTACATTAATACCTACTGATTAAGCCATTTTGAAAAGGAAAAGAGTGAGTTTTTTTGTCCAAATGAAAAAAAAGTGATATACTCCTAATTTGTAAAGGATAAGTATATTAGCAGTTTCCCCCAAACCATACAGACATGCTCAATAATTATATTTGTTGATTTTGTAAACTATTTTAATTTAGGGGCTTCGTACTCGAGAAGAAGAAGATAGAGTTTCTAGTCATCTTTTGCTCAAGGTGTGTAGCAGGTTTGAGGGAAAAGTGAATATTTTAGTTTTGCTATTTATTTGCACTTGCATGTTTTGTTTTCTTCTATTTTTCTCCTGTATAAGATTATGATAAAAACATTAGAGGTCCCATAAAATGAGATCAGGAACATTTTGAAGCTAATTTTTTTTTCTTTCACATTTGTGTAAATATCTTGATTTTTTTGGCTTTCTTTTTGCTCTTTTCTCTTTTCTGTTCAAGGCTATTGCAAATGCATGTAAGGTTTCTTCAAACGCTATTCCGGAGATGAGTGAATCGGATGTGTCTGATGAATGTGAAAAGCAATTCAATGAAGATCAAGAGTTAGAACAACTTATTAATGGTCAAATATGCTTCAAGATTTATCCATTTAGAAGTGGTATAGTTCAATCTTTGTGCAGAAGCAATATTATTAATACAGTTACAATTACATTTTACTTTCTTATTGATGATTTTAATGCTTTGGTTTCAGAGATACCAGCAGAAAGGAAAATAATACTGCCTGGTTCTTTCAATCCCTTACATGATGGGCATCTAAAGCTCATGGAAGTCGCAACTCGGTACAAAAACTTGTGCTATTTGCTAAATAAATGCACAAATTTATGTATTGTATGTTTAATGTATTTAATGGCTACCTATTGAATACAGATAACTTCAAGGATCAGTTATCTATATGTATAGATATTTACTGGAAATGCTTATATTAGTTATCATAATTAATTAATAATGAAACAAAGAAATGAGAAATAAGTTATCTTAAATTGTTTTTTTTGGTTAAGTAGCTTAATGGCTGGAGTCCACCTTATTTAAGATGAACAAATGACCCGCGTCCCTGCACCCGGTGTCCCTATACAGCTACCAACTGAGCTGTCTTAACGGGACTTCAAAAGTTATTTTTTGTCATGATTACCAAATATCATTAATTGGATAACAAGTGTAAACTGTACAGTTTACATTATATGTTATATAAGTCAGTATTCCTTATATAAAATCTATTTTGAAAATCTAATTAGGATTAGTTATCTATATGTATGAAGGTTTATTTAATTTTTTTCATGTTGGTAATCGTAATTCATAATCTCAGTTATTAAAGCACATCATGCAGCATTTGTGGTGATGGGTATCCATGCTTTGAAATATCTGCGGTCAATGCAGACAAACCTCCATTATCAGTGTCTCAAATCAAAGATCGTGTCAATCAATTTGAGAAAGCTGGTGAGGTTCTTTTATGCTCTATTGGGTTCAATATTCAAATCACAGTTACTGACTATGTGCACTAATTTTCTTAAAGCTAATTTGTTACAATATTTTATGAAGGAGACTCTATTTCTGTTTTCATCCTTAACAGGGACTTATTTATTGCCTTTTTAATGTACCATGTATTATGTAATTGGTAATGTTGTAGTATTACATAAAATATCGAATGAGATTAGTGTTTATTTTTTGAAAATTTAAGATAAGCTCATATAACAATATGTTAGACTGAAGATTCAAATTAAAAGGACTCAAATGAATTAGGATTAGTTAGGGAAGTTAGTCACAGCACATTGTATTTGAGAGAAAACCGAGCAAGAGCTCTGGTAACTAGTGGAAACCCTTGGGCTGAGTATATCTTGGTTTTTCTGTTCAGATTTGTTCATTCAATAAAGTTCTTTTCTTTTCTCTATTTTTTAATCAATATCGCAAATATGATACTCTGAGCTTAACACTGTTTTTCAGTACTTAATATATTTTTGTTTAATGAACGACCTGAAGTTGTAAATGACTTCTCTACAACAATTGCAGGACAGACAGTAATTATATCAAATCAGCCTTATTTTTATAAAAAGGCTGAACTTTTTCCGGGAAGTGCTTTTGTAATTGGTGCTGACACAGCAGTGAGGCTTGTTAATGTACGCAAAACTAACTGCTTACTGCTCTGATCAATATTACTTGATTTTCAACATTTCATGTCCTGCAACTTTCCAATTGTTTTTAGGGATGTAGTAATATCAGCTTGCAAATCAGCTCAATTTCTAAATTCTGTCGAACCATGTTACTATCCCATAAATTTTTGTATGATTCTGAAATTCTCAGTTTGTGCATTACTTTATTACTCTTTTTTAAACAAAAAATCATGTTATCTTGCAGCCTAAATACTATGATGGGGACTACAACAAGATGCTGAAGATACTTATTGGCTGTAAAGAAACAGGCTGCACCTTCCTTGTGGCTGGTCGGAATGTAGATGGTGTATTTAAGGTAGTACCACATAAGAAAAGAGCAATCCTAATTTTGGTGTTCATATTTTTCAAATTTATTGTTATTGAGACCATTGTGTGATGCTACAGGTTCTTGAGGATTTGAATGTTCCAGAGGAACTAAAAGACATGTTCATCTCCATTCCAGCTGAACAGTTCCGCATGGACATATCCTCTACTGAGATAAGGAAAAAAAGCGGGATGTAAATGTTTCTATGGCTGAAGGTCATAGTCAATAATAAAATCACTTCCTTCCATGGAGAGCACAAATTTGCATGATAAAAGTGGCAAGCTCGATCTTGTGTAGTTTGAAACAATCGCAATCACAAGCGGTACAGTTTTCTGACCCAAGGTTTATGGTTGTCAAAGTGACTATCCTTTTTATTGTTGTTTATTAATGAGGAGTCATGTGCGTGTTGGAGACATATTACAAAATATTGAATACTGATGTACAAATATAAGGGTGTTCTCATTCTTGAATTTCAGTATATTAAGATCACTGTATATTAAGGTGAATTGAATATGTCAATTGAATTAAATATGCATTCTTGCCGAGAGCTGTAACTGGTGTGGCCTACTTATGACTGTTGGCAAATAAAGTTATTGCGATGAGAAAATTAAGATGCTGTATTTTTAGCTCCCTCCATCAAAATTTTCTTCTAAAACACAAGCTCGCCGGAACTTTTACTCTTATTGTTTAACTCCCCCCAACATTGTTGTTGTGACTACAATTGAATGTCAATTATTTATATTAATTGGAACATGTGTATTTTTAGCTTCAACAAACTATGGCCAGTCCACATTCAAAGCTACCCTTAAACTAGCTCATGATGTTAGATGAAATAAATTTGACATTTTAATTTAGTAGAGAAACTATGTCCATCTGAGAGCTGTTAAAATTATACATGCTTCAGAGGTATAATTTAAATCAACCAATGTAGGTATAATTTAAGGGTAGCATTGAATGTTGGGTGATCATAGTTTGCTGAAGTTAAAAATACCCATATTTCTATTAGTATAAATAGTTGACATTCAATTGTAGTCACAACAAGAGTGTGAGACTTAAACAATAAGAGCTAAAGTTCCAGTGATCTTTTGTGTTTTAGAAGAAGGTTTTGATGTAATTTTGAGTGTTTATTTTTACAGCATCTTAGTTTTCTAAGAGAATAATTTAATTTGCCAACAATGACTTTATCAAAGGAGGATAAAAAATCTGGGGACAGATTGTCAACTTTTTTGAATATGTTGCAACACTGCTATATACTTGGTTATGGGGGTGGACCTTAAAGGGCACACCACCCATTGTTACATGAAAATACAGTTTTTCAATTGAATAGAACAAATTTGCTTTGTACAGTCTTAAAAGCCTATAAGGTCAACCACCACAGCCTCCGCCACAACCTGCTCCACACCCTGCCGCCGCACAGGCAGAACCATTGGCATTTACTGTGGTGCCAGAGTCTTTAGTTGAGCCTTTGGATGTTCCATCTGCACAGAAGAAGATAATAGCAGCAAAAAGAGACAGAGTCACTAACACCACACATAACATATAAACTACACTTGCAAACTCTTCCACCCCACCACCGCCACCGCCACCTTGGTGTCTTCTCAACAACTCTACCTCTTTCCACTGCCTCACCATTTTATGCTGCACAAAGCTTCTCTGCCTCTGTAAACTGTCCTTTGGAGGCACGAAAAGGTTATGAATAATTAATTGAGTATAGTGGCTTGGGCTAATATATAAGGAAATAGAATGTGAATAAAGTGGAAAACTTTCGCGGAAAATTCTAAAGCATGTGAGATGTGTGAATGAAGGAGCTGAATCCTTAACCTTATCCTAAACTGTCAAATAAGGTATCGGTCACGTAAAATACTAAGCTTTTATGCCAAAATGTCAAAGTCTCATATTCTTATATTGAAATTGACGGGTAATTTCCATAAAATTAAGCTCACCAAAGTCTTTCAACTTGATATTTTATTAATAAGATAAAATAAGGGAACACTAAGTTTTAAGTTGGAAAAGTCGTTTGCTCAAGAAGCCATCCTTGTTCGAGGAATAAACCTCGCATTTTCTTTCTAATTTTGTAGGATATTCTGAAAATTTTATTCATATTAGCTTTTATGATAGTCAGAAACCAATTTCAATTGTAGTCTTAAAATTAAATTCGATAAGTGGTTAAAACATAGAAACTTAATTAATATTAAGTGATTATACTATGGAACTTTTTATTTTTAGGAATTTATTTTACACATTGTTGTTCTTTTTTTTCTCTCTCTCATGTTATATAGTGGAAATCTTACATGTGAATAAAAAGTAATCACTTCCAAATATTTTAACTCATTTATTTTATATTTTAAATTTTAAATTAAATATAATTTATAAAAATTCCATTTTTTTTTTGTGAAACACATTTACGGAAATAAAATTCCTAATAATAATATTTGTGTAAATAATATTCTAAGAATTATGCTCAAGAATGCTATTCTATTATTTTGTTTGGTATGAGAAATATATTATAAAAGAATAAAAGAATAATAATTTAAGTTGTTTTTTATAGGAATGTTAAATTTTAGTAAAAATATTTAAGTCAATGTAGTTCTCGTTTAATCAATTTTTCACTAAAAAGTTATTGTGTGGACATAACTTATACTAAAATTAAAATTTTGATTAAGTTGGAAGATATTCATGTCATCTTTTATCAATAAAGGTTTGTGTAGTAAAAATAGTAGAATAATAAAAGATGAAAACAATATTATTTAGAAGTTTGATTGAGTATACTCCAATTATTCTACTAATTTATTTATGCAATTAACGTAGAGCTCAATGATACTGTATTTAAGAATTTACCATAAGAAAATTGGATTTGAGTCTATGGTTCAAATAAGAATAAAAAAACCCTTTCATAGAGAAAAAACCGAGAAACTAAATTTAATAAAATAAGTGATATACTGTCCACGGTGTCCGTGGTGCTGTGTATCTCACTATGCATGTTTTTCTCAACCATTTTTTTCACTTCTTAGCATTTACTAGTATGAGTTTTAAGTCTATAAATTGAAATTTTAATTTCAATTTTTGGGCATGCAAATTTTTAGTATTGTATTAGGGAGAAATAAGCACTTTTGTAAATCACTTATTTCTTCACATCAAATAATAAATGCAACTTTAGAAGTCAGATTTTGAAATAGTTTTTGTACACTTGAATCGTTTGCTACTCAATCCTACAAGAATAATTTTTCTGAAGTTTAATTCAAACATTTTATTGTCATTATTCTGCATTACAAATTTCTTTATTTACAAAATTTGCCAACATTTTGTATTAGTTCTTGTTATATGTTTACATTGCTAAAATTTAATATATATATATATATATATATATATATATATATATTATTAAAGTAATTATTATATTTAGTTCATTTAATAACGGTGATTTAAATATGTTAGTTATGTCGAAGTAGTTTATTAGAGTTTTAGATGTCAGGACCGTCGGTACTTGCATGAAAGTCTTATTTAATTAATTATTTGGGGATTTATTTAAGGGTTGATTTTCAATGTTTTTAAATTAAATTAATTATTGTGAAAACTATAATTTAGAGATGCTGGTTCCTGTTTGAAAAAATAGAATTTCTATAAGACTTGAGTAGAAAATCAGATTTTTATCAACTGTTATGCGAAAGTATCTTTTATTAGAAATGCAAAAATTGATATTTTCAAAAAAAATAATTTTCAAGCTCAAACGGACCATGCGAAATCGAAAAACTGTGAATTTAAAATTCGATGTTAGACGAGCGAAAGTCGATGACGCCTTTAAACTTTCTTTTTTGTTTTGGAATAGGGGAATATATTATTGTCAAAAAACAATTCAATATACACTGATCCTAAACGATCCAGGCACAAGACGACTCAGAAAACAAAGACAAGAGGACCAAACAATTAAGCCCTATTACAATACTCTACTAGCTTCTCATTCCCCTAAATACTCAAAAGGATGACTTCTCTGCTGTGTCTACTATTTAATGTTTCTCTATTACAATTTTGAAAGACAATCTTATTTCTAATACTCCACACATGGTAAATTGTTTCAGCTACAACTATTTTCACAATTTTCGCCCTGTTTCCTTTGCCACAGGTTGTTTGAAGGAGCCACGGAAACTCAACACTCCAAGCATCATGATTATGATCTACTCAAAAGCTTTCTAAGACCTGCTTCCAAATCTTCTTAGTATAAGCGCATTCAAAGAAAATATGTTGACAACTTTCCTGCATATGACAGAAAACACACAATCCATCAGTATCCATTCCATGTTTTCGCACCCTATCCTTGGTCATAAGGAGATTTTGGCACGCCATCCGTGAGATGAATATTGCTCTAGGTCTAGCAAGATTTTCATAGAATATGATTCTCCAATCCACATTAGGTTTATCTCCTCCCAAGGATCTATACATAATGCTAGTAATGTATCTTCCATCCACCTGAAAGTTCTGCCACAGTTCAGAGTTAACAATCATGTCTTTATTCTTGAAAATAGCTTTTACAATCCATGAATAATTATGGGCAGGGTAGTAGTCCCTTACATCTACCTGTTTCATATAATAAGTTTGCAACCATTTAATCCATAATATATCCTTCTTATTTCAAATGTTCCAAAGCAATTTACCAAGAGTCGCTCTATTCCATTCAACAAACGATATCATGTTTCTGCCTCCAACATAAATAAGATAACAAACATGATCCCAGAAAATTGGGGCCTTCCTGCTGCCAATTTTCTTTCCAGTACACATAAACCTTCTAAAAAAGCCTTTAAGCTTTCTTTTTCTGCTTAGCAACTTTATTATTATTTAAAAATAATTAATTTTCAAAAACAATTTTTTTTACTTTAACATGCCGACCATGCAAAGGCGGTTGGGATAAATTTTAGGCTAAAACTAGGTCCCGACTACGTGAAAGTGAGCGGTCCATTTGAATTAATTATTTTCACTAAGAGAAAATATTATCTCTAATTAATTAATATAACACTTATGCGAGTACTGAAGTTTGATGCGAGCTACATTCCGGTCCCCTCTCTAATCCATTCCCTTTTCTAAAAATAATAGTTTTCTTTCCGTTTGCACTAGAAAATCATTCCCTATAGCATTAGATTTACAAATCGACAATAGATAATGGTAGATTGACACTGATCTCTGTGGGATTGATAATATTTTATACTACTGTGATAAATTTGTGCACTTGTGGACAACATTAAAGAGTTAGAAGCAATTAACAAGAGAAACACTTGGAAACTGGTCAATTTTCCAGACAATACCAAACCAATTGAGGTCAAGTGGGTGTATAAACTGAAGTACAACCCTGATGGTTCTATTGCTAGGGATAAGGATAGGTTGGTAGAAAGAGGTTTTCTTCAAAAAGGAAGCCTTGACTACTCTGAAGTTTATGCTCTAGTGGCTAGACTTGATAATATCATATTAGTAGTAGCCTTAGCATATAAGAAATGGTGGTCAACATTTCACCTTGATGTGAAATCAACTTTCTTAAATGAACCTTTAGATGAAACAATTCATGTTTCTCAACCATCTGAATTTGTGATACAATGAGAGGATAGGAAAGTGTATAAGTTACACAATGCCCTATATGGACTCAAACATGCACCTAGGGTCTAGATTAAGAAGATTGATTCTTATCTAGTGGAATTGGACTTCCCCAAGTGTTAATTTTAATATGGTGTTTATGCGCAGGCCACAACACAAGACATAACACTCATATGCGTGTATGTTGATGATTTACTAATAACTGGTAATAACATTAGCAACTTGGTGAAATTCAAGAAGTTGAAGATGAAAGAGTTTGAGACGTCAGACTTAGACAACCTATCATATTTCTTAGGCATGGAATTTCTAAGGACTGATAGAGGCATGATGCTGCACCAAAGGAAGTATGTTAAGGAGGTTCTTAATGTATTCAGAATTCTTGATTCAAATTTGCAGCCTCTCATATTGAAGAAAATCTAAAACTTGAGAAGAATGGTTATGAGGAAAATGTGGGTGCAAATTTATTTAAACAAATTGTAGACTCTTTGAGATATGTGTGCAACAGTAGGCCTGATATAGGCTTCTCAATTGTTCTAGTGAGCAGATACATGGATAACCCTAAAGTTTCTAATATGAAGACTGCAAGGAGGATTTTGAGATACTTGAAGGGACACTCAACCGTGGAATTCATTTCCCAAGGAGTTCATATGGCAATGATGCAGTGATTACCTGCTATTCAGATGTAGACTAGTATGGAGACAAGTCGGACAGGAGAAACATTACATGTTATTTTTTATAGGTGTTTGGTGCTTCAATTTCATGGTGTTCTAGGAAACAACCTATTGCGGCGCTATCCTCAGAAAGAATATATTGCAGGATCCTATGCATCTTACCAAGTCCTTTAGATCAAATCAATATTAACTGAGTTGCAGAGTTAAAAGTCAGTGGTTCTGCAACTTGACAATAGATCATCCATAAACCTAGCAAGGAATCTAGTCCTAGATGGTAGAAGCAAACACAATGAGGTTATATTTCATTTCTTAAGGGAGCAGGTGAATCAAGGAAAGTTTGAAGTGAAGAATTGTCCAAGCGAATTACAAGTTGCTAATATTCTTACAAAGGGATTGAAAATTGAGAGATTTTTTTACTCTTATGCAAAAGCTAGGATTTACGCAATTTGATAGTTAACTTGTTTTGATGTTTATTGTAGTACATAGATTAGATTATAAGGGGGTATGTTGTAATATAATACAAGTATGATTGTTGTGTTTGTTATGATAGTTATTTAGTTGGTTACTTTATACAAGTAACTTGCTTTAAGAATATACTTGGACGAATATATCAGTTTTAGTTAGACACACTCTTTTAAGGATATACTCAGGTGAGTATATTATATAATCAGGTGGGTATATAAGACTGTTTTGAACAATTTGTTTTACATTTTATTTGGGTGGCTAAGGTTCCTTTAAATACCATCCCTAATTGTAATTGATAACAATTTCAATAATAATACAATTCATTCATTCAACTTTCTTTCACTCAATAACTCATTCCTTTCAATTCAAGTGCAGGTGTGCTTGCACTAACAATTATAGGTTCCATTTCGCTGCATAATTGGTTAAAAAACTCTAATTCATAATCAATTATACTTTAGATTAAAACATTTTGCCCCAATTCAAAGTGATTTTAGAAGATGTTTCGAAAAGGATGAATTTTGGAAAAAGTGTGTGAATGTATATGTGTGTGTGACTTTAACACCTTAGAGAGAAAGACACTTATTATTGCATTTTTTATCCTAGATAAAAGTAAAATAACATAGCATATGAATATGTTATTTATATTTTAGTAGATGACACCATTTCTTGATAATGTTCTTTAGCATTTTATTATTTTGCACAAATCACTAGAACATTTCTCGCTTTTTGATTTGTTTCAAACTTTCTTCTCGTTTGATGACATTTTATGATATTTGCTTCGGTCTTTTTGTAATCCTCAAAATTTTGTTATACTTATTTAGCATATAGAACCCACAAAGGTGTCTGAAAATTATTCTTTGAATGTATGTAGACAGAAGAACCCTACAACCTAAGATTCTCACTTGATTTTTATGAAAAATTCTAACACTTGATTCTTATGAAAAATGATTTTTTTTTGTGATTTTGAGAATTTTGAATTCTTTTATGATGGATAATGAAAATGAGAGAGATGAAAATCGACTTGTGTCATATAAACACACACTCGAAAAAATTACTTCTAAATAACATGCGTGTGAATGCTTACTTCAAGAGATGGGTAGTATTTAGTTTTTTTACAGAGTTTCTGAGGAATATATCTAGTGTAATGAAGATCTTGTTGAGAATAATATCTCAAGTGTGAGTGGGAGTCCCACATTGGTTATAAATGTGGAGAGTTAGTATTTATAAGTGGGAGAATCCATACATCTATCACTTTAAGATTTTGGGTGAATATGTGGTGTCTCTCTCACTTGTGTTGCTCTTGACCCAATGTTCAATGCTCCTTAGTGAAAAAATTCTCCAACAAATTCTTCTACATGTAATATGCAGCTACCTTGACGTGTTAAACAGGCATGCCCACTCTATTTGGCCTATTTGCAAAAGCTCGAAAAAAAAAACGGTACAGAGCAGAACAAACATTATTGAAGATGCAAACCTAAGCGAGCATTGCACATTTTTAATCTAAATATTGCAAAAATTTATATTAAAGTCCGCATTCGCAAACACTTAAGAAAAACGAAATGCGAAGAATATAATAGAAAGTGTGGATTTAAAACATTTATTTGCAAAAAAAATAATAATAAACAAAATAAATATAATCAGCAAATCAGATCCATTTTACCACCGCTATAGTTACCTATATCCAAAATATCTTCGGCTTCTATGCCAATCGTTATTTGGCACACAAAAAGTATTATTTATCAATGCCAATCATTATTAGGCACACAAAAAATATCATTTATCAGTACTGATTTCATTTTATAATTTCATTTTATTTTATAATAGTTAAATTATAATTTTATTCTCTTATTCGAAATCAATCTCTATATTTTAAAGAGTATTATTCTCTCTTCTTAGTATCAAACCAAAAAAAATATTGATTTGCATTTTTTTTAATATGTGACAATTGTTGGCTGATATGACATGTGTGACTTGGTCCGTCATATATTACATGTTATTTTTATTTTATTAAATTTATAATATTAAACTAAATAAATTTAAAATTAAATAAACCTTAAATAACAAAAAACTAAATTAGTTTTTATTGCAAGGGAATACCAACCTTCTTTTTCAATTACTTCATATTAAGAAAACTCATCAAAACAGTCCAGATTTAACAACAATAAATTTAACTGCAAATAAAAAAACTCAGATTTTAGAGCAATAATTACCCTTCATCTTCATCGTCTCATTCCACACACATGTACACTAAATGCATCAAGATCTAATTAAGAATTAATTCTATGCAATATTCATATTTATAACATTTTATAATTCTATTATCATCAACATAATCTCATAATCTCATTTAAAAATTATTTCTATTGTCTAAATTAACCATCAACAACATAGATACAATCTATAGTAGCAACAACGTTGGGATTATAAATACACAGCACAAAAAACCAACCAAGTATTCACACATACTACAATTTAGCCAAACATTAGTATATGTTTCCTACATAGATTAGAAAAGCTTAATGATGAGGAAACTGAGAAGAATTTCTAGCAGCACTTTGCTCAGAAGCACTGGCAAGTCCCTGCAACATCCTTAAAATCTCACTTGTGTCTTCCAAGTAATACTTTGCCTTGCTTGGTTTCTGACCAACAGTACAAGGAAACACGTCAGCGATAGGCGATAGCGATGCTCTTGCACTTGTTATTACTCCAAACATGTCTTCGTCCGATCTGTCATCGCCAATGCATAGAACGAAATCCGGAATCACTCCCTTTTGTTGCATTGTTATCAGAAGACGTTCCGCTACAATGCCCTTACTCACACCCTGCACCGAAAATGTAGCATCAATACTTCAAAGTTGAAAGCGCGTCTAGTGTTTAACACATGTTAGTGTCTGACACTAACTTGACCCGAGTTGTTGTCAGAGTTATTAGTGTCTATGTGCCAGTGTCAATATCGTGTCAGTGTTTCATATACAACACATGTTAGACTTAGAGTGTGACACTAACATGACCCTAGTTGTGTGTCAGTGTTAATAGTGTCTATGTGCCAGTGTCAATATCGTGTTTGTGTATGTGTCGGTGTTTCATATACAGATTACTTCAACTAAATATAATTGATCTGAATATAGGTTTATAAGAGGAAAGACGGCTTTTTATTACTGACCTGAGGTTTAACTTCCACAATGTTTGGGCCACTTTTAACTGAAACAGGCTCATTGGCAAGAACACTTTCTAGATGATCAAGAAGCTCCTTAGCTTGGCATGAACCGAAATCTCGGTCTGCAAATTCGTAATTCCAAACAAGAGCGCTCTCTTTGGACTCTATGTTAGAACCATCAGTAGTTTCTGTATATAACTGCATAACTGGCTCAGCAATCTGTTTCCAGTCGAAATCAGGCACGGAAACACAAGCTTCCCATTCTTCGGTATGACTCGTCCTGAGAAAAAGAGTATAAAACTCGTCAGTTTACAGTCGCCGCAAAACACATGCATAAGCAGCATAACACATACCTCACGAAATAGCCGTGTTCTGCAGCAAGTCCGAGCTTCTCACAAGAAGAAAACCATTCGGTAAGAGTCTTTCTCTCCTTTCCACTAACAAGGAAAACACAATTCTTGGTGTCACTGCACAAGCTGTTCAAGATGGCAACAGATTCAGCATTAGGTGTTGTACTAATTGATCCCGGCTGCACCATAGTACTATCATAATCCAAAAGAATCGCTCGGTGCTTTGTCCTCTTATAAGCGGAAGCAATATGTTCCACAGATAGTTTTCTGAAGTTTGGATCCAAAGCAATTACTCGAAATCCTAAACCAAAGCCAATTCCCCAGCATCTCCTTCTCAGATGATCCCTACAAGCTCTTTCCAGGTCCTGCAAGAAGCTACGCGCCCAATATGCAACATCGTGTGTACTGACATACCTGTAATGCTTCTCGTGCCTCATTTGTTTTTCAGACTCCGGGACCATTAATGCAGAATCCATAGCTTCAGCAACAGCATCAATATTCCATGGATTCACCCGAATCGCACCACTTAACGATGGAGAGCAACCGATGAACTCAGACACCACCAACATACTCTTCTTATGGATACTCGAGCTTATTCCTAAGATCTCGTCTATCTTCTCATTTCCTTGTCTACAAATGATATACTCATAAGGTATAAGGTTCATCCCGTCTCTTACAGCTGTAACAAGACAGCATTCTGCAATTGCATAATAAGCAATCCGCTCGTAACTCTGGAGCGTTGTATCGATCAAGATGACCGGTGTGTATCCAGGCCTTCCAAACGTGTCGTTTATCCTTTTCACTGTTGCATAAGTTTCAGACTGCACTTCTTGCACATCCTTTCCGCGGCCTCTAGCAGGGTTGGCGATTTGAACCAGAACAACTTTTCCTCTCTTATCAGCATGTTGTAAAAGCAATTGTTCCATGGCCAAAAGTTTTAAGCTGATTCCTTTGAAGATATCCATGTCATCCACCCCAAGCATAACAGTTTGTCCTTTGAACCGGTTTCTTAACTCGGCAACCTTGCTTTCTGTCTCGGAAAGATTCATGACCGATTCAAGCTGGCCTATATGAATACCAACCGGAAGAATCTTAATGCTAACAGTTCTTCCATAGTACTCGAGACCGATATATCCTCGCTTGGATTGATATGCAATCCCTAGCATTCTACTGCAGCAGGAGAGGAAATGTCTAGCATAGTCAAAAGTATGAAACCCTATAAGGTCAGAATTCAGAAGGGCTCTAAGAAGTTCATCCCTGACCGGAAGCGTTCGGTATATCTCGGAAGACGGAAAAGGACTATGGAGGAAGAAACCTAGCCTCGCCCGATTAAATCTCTTTCTCAAAAATGTCGGAAGAACCATCAAGTGGTAGTCATGAACCCAAACAAAATCCTCATCCGGGTTTATAACTTCCATCACTTTATCAGCAAAAATCTTGTTGACAGAAACATAAGCCTGCCAAAGGGATCGATCGAATCGACCACCAAGATCAGGCGAAAGCGGAAGCATGTAATGAAACAAAGGCCAAAGATGTTGTTTACAAAATCCATGATAGAATTTAGTAAAAAGCTCAGGAGGGAGAAAAGTCGGCACACACTTGAAATTATCAAGCAAGTACTGAGCAACATCATCCTGCTCAATTGGATCGATTTCTTCTTTAAGACAACCGATATAAATCGTTTCGACGTCATCACCAAGACCATCTTTCAGCTGTAAAAGAAGAGAATCCTCATCCCAAGCAAACTCCCACTTACCATTCTCCTCTTTCCTTTGCGCCTTCACCGGAAGCTGATTACCAACAATAATCATTCTCTCTTGAGAAACAGAAGAAGGAGCATCAGAGCCAACACTGTTGTTTGTTTCATCATCTAACTCAGACAAAACACCAGCCACAGTCGCAACTCGAGGAAGCCTTTTCTTCTCCCGACCGAAAGACAAAGGCGAACCACATGAAGTAAGATCTAACAAATTGGAATATGACCTTGAAGCCATTTTTCTCACTCACTCACAGTCACAATCCTACAAAAACACAATAAACAAAACATCAATTTCACAAATCTGATAACATATCAAACGCCATCCTCACTCATACACCAAAAGTAGCAATGTTCCATTACAAAACTTGCATGAATGGACACTCGTACTCATACTCATTTCAGTTGGATTTGACAGAGTCCAAATACTTTTACCATATTAGAAACTATATTCAGAAAAACACACTTAACAATTTGACGAAATTTTAGAATATAATAACAGAATTAACAAGAATGATAAAACCATGAAGTACCAGAGATTAATTGAATGAAGAAACAGAAGAGGAAGAAGAAGAGGACTGAAAAGGATTGTTAACCTTGAATGAATGTTAGTTGGAGAAGAGACATAAACATAAACAAAAGATTCTTGTTCTCCGTCAAAATCACACACTCACTCACAATGGTGTATGCGAAGTGAGAATAATATAACTTTTACTTTTTGTCTAGAAAAACAGATTTTTAGTTGTATACACTTGATTCATCATAATGATAATTTTTACATTACAAAACCAACCAACAAACGACAAATAGGATGTCTTTATACAAAGAAAACAACTTCATTTCATTCACTCACTGTCTCACTCTCACTGATGTATGATGACATTGTATTACAATTTTTACATATAAACAATTATTTATTTATTTATTTATCAAATATATAAAAAAAAATTAAATTTGTTTATAATTGTGACGGGAGAGTGTATAACATTTACATTACATTAATTGCTATCAAACCAGACACAGTAAATGAACCCAACTTCCTTAACCATGGTTTGTGTTTTTCTATAATCAAATATTAACTTCACTGCTACCACCACTACTGGGAAAGAGATTCTTTCTGAGAGCGCGTGTAAGACACGCAAGTGTAGATTATGTTGTGATTGTCCAATTATGAGAGTGCGTGTGTTTGATGCGTGTTTGATAGAAAAAAGGTTTTAGTTCTTAAATTGTGTTTTGAGAGAAGATTAAGGAGTGATGTGATTATGATATTGTTAAACACAGAGAGGAGGGCCTGAGAGTTTGCTGTTGGGTTACGCGGAGTGTCGGTCAATGAAAATGCAACAAGTGTCCGGTGAATTCTGGAGCTTGCTTGTCTTATTCGTTGGTGGAGCTTGCTTGTGGGTTTAATGAACTTCTTTCCTCTTAATTTTTAACTAGCCGTTTCTTTTCATTTTAAAAGTTATTTTTTTGATGTATTTTTAAATTTGGTTTTATAAAAAATTTAAATATTACAAGTTTTTAATTTATTTTTATAAAACAATACATTAATTTTAACTTATATCTCTGATCTTTAATATAAGAAAAAAATTCACTTTTAAAATATAATGAAAAGTCAATGTATTCATATTACGTATAGTTCAAATATATTGATTTTTCAATAAATTTAAAAAATAATTTTTTTATATTAAGGATTAAGTAAAATATTTTATTGAAGATTAGAGCATCTTCAATGAAAGTTGCTTAATGTATATGTGGATTTTAAATTTCGGGGCTTAGCATTTTTTACCGTTAGAATATTTACGTTTGTCGTTTTCTTTGCTTAAATATTTGTGTAAGTTGTTTTATGAAGCAATGCAAAAGTGTGTTGTTTATCATTAAATTATTTTTGATAATTTGTGGATCTAAATATAAATTGATTAAGTCACATATATATTGCTTATTAAAATCACACTTTGAGTCATTTTTAAGAAACAATAGAAATTGTATTACCCTAAAGTTAGCAAATGCTTTATTCTCCCTCTTCGATAAAAAACAGATATGTCGTCCAACAATTTTCCTTCCCACAATCAAAATTCTTTGTTTCCTCGTGTAACTAAGCGGCTTGGTGGTGCGATAAGATTTTTCCTCCGCACCAACATTTTATCCTTATAGTTGTACTTCCTTCGCCATGTGACAATGACTTTCAAATGAAATATGCAAGGTGGTTTCTTCGGCGGTTTTCGGTGTTGGTTAGTTTAGTTGATTGTTGCTCGCCTCAAGCATATTGATAACCGCTTTCTTCAAATTCAAATTTGCATGCTTTTTCCGGTTAAGTCCTCGCTGGATTTTAGTTTGTGGCACTCCTCATCTCCATTGTATTCAATGAAATCTTTCTCTAACTCAAGGGTTAGAGTATGTTTGTCTAGGATGTTTGCTTATCATTTATTAAAGGTTAATTATTCATTTACTTACAAAAAAATATATTTTATCATGTTAAAAGAAGATTGATTAATTGAGAAAAGAAAACCTAAAAACATTTTTGATTATTGTACTCGCTAGAGTACTACGACTCTATGCTTACATACCCTCATGTTAGATGAAGAATCAGAGTACTGTAGTTCTTGTAAAACATGTTTGTGTGTTTTTTGTGTTTTATCCCTTGAAAAGTTCTCAACGCATCGAAGTGAAAAAATATTTGATTTCGAAAAATACCTCAATGCAAAGGGTAGAGGACTTAAGGTTTAAGTGGGCTGAGATGATTTTGTCTCTTTCGATTGATTACAAAAATATAATGATTAATTTATTTAAAAAAATAAATTAATAATGATATTATATATTAAAAAGATTTAATAAACCAATTATCATATCCCTTATCCTTGGTTTTTATATCCCTGAAGCTCTAGAAATTTTCCTACAATTTTATTTCATATTATTCCTAAATGATCCCATAGTTATCCCATTAATTAATCTTAACTTTTCAAATTAATTAATATACCATAATTAACCCTATTTTTTTTATTCCTTATATTATTTATATTAACCTTTTCAAAAAAAAATTAATCCCTAATTTTAATATGCTTAATTATTCTAGAATTAATTCCTAACACTAATTTAAATCCCTAATTTTGATATTTTACTTCCATGTTAACTATGATTATTTATATGATTATCTAATTATTTTATGTTAATTATTCCCTAAAATTTTTAATTAATTCAAATTATATCCCTAACCAATATGCTAATTATCTTAATTAGATTAATTAAATGATAAGTTAAAGTATAAATTAAATAATATAATTAACTAATTTAATTAAAGTAAATAAACGGGTTGGAAGGTGTAAACAGACCTAGGTTAGTAAATGGGCTGCCAGTGTGGGTGCCAATAATAAAAGAAAGAGGCCAAATTGCCTCTGAAGCTCGTTTGTACAAGGGCGATCCATAAAGAGAGAGTCAATGGTTGACTCTCTCTAGACCAGGTGATCACGATCAGAGGATATCCCTCGCATTCAATCCTAGTTCTTGATGATGATGATTAGTCAAAGTATTCTACAGGGAATGGTATGATTGAGAGTCTAAGAGGGACCATGTCAAATGCGTGTCATACCCCAAATTTGTCCTACCTGTACATTTGGTTTTTATCTATATTTCTGTCGACTCACCATTATTCATAACTCCGAGAAAAGGGTTGTCGTCGTTGCTTTCTTTTAAGCTCAGCTTGGCAGAGATGAATTGAGTTTCATTTGAAGTTCACCAGGACAAGTGCGGGTGTGTGATGTTGTTTTGGTTCAGGTGGTTCGGACCTAATCTTGGTCAGGCAAGAGTTCTTTCAGGATCAAGACTATGGTGTGTAATTCGGATGATGTGTGTTTAGGGTTGCAATTAGAATTTGTGTATCAAGTTCAAATCAATTATGCGTGGATCCAGACATCAGTTGGTTTATAATGAAGATTTTTCAGTACTTAAGTGGACAGGTTCAGATAGATTCGTTGCTTTGATTCCATTCATCAGAAGCTAATTCAAGGTTGTGATGTGATTCGTGATTTATGGTGGTCAAGTGTAATCTCGAGGTTTTAAGTGTTGTGGCGCATTACGGAACCCATTTCAAACCAATCCAATTTCTATCCACCTTGCCAATTATCCATTTTTTTTAGTTATCCATTTTTATCCATTTTTGAAAATCTAATTCAATGTCCACTTTGCAAATTCATCATTTAATATCCATGTTCCGTTTCCAATTTTATTCATATCCTTTCACAACCATTTTCTTAAACTCATTTTCCAAACTATCCATTTCTAAATCCATTTTCAAATCAAAATTCATTTTATTATTCACATCCCTTTTCAAGTCCATATTCATTTCCCATTTAAACATCCAATTTACCATTTTTTTTAATCCAAACTCATTTTTCTGGACCAACTCAGGTCCATGTCCGTTTTTTTAAAGAATTTAAAGCCTTTATAATTAATCCTTAAACATCCATTCTGATTCACATTCCAAGAAACAAGCCATGAAAACAACCATTAGCTTGTACAATTCAAGTTGCAACAATCCACCTCAAGCTACACAAGCTTTGGCCATGTATTAAATCTCCCAAGCCATTCCACATCCTGCAAAAGGAAAATAGAACAAAACGCAAGCATGAGCCAGAACTTGATATCATTATGCAAACAAACAAAACAAATATCTCAAGCCAAACCGTTCTACACCTTCCAAAACCAACCTGCGGAACAAAACCTCACACACTAATTCACAACAAAATACCACAAACTTTTCCAATGACCACAACACAACAAACCATTATGCACACCAGCTCGCAATTCCTCACGCAACACAGAAAATACAGAAGCTTCAGCTGACCCCATGAAAAATCACAAACCGTAGCGTAAACTAGTGTACGATGTGAAACCGAGCCATAAAGGCCATACCTGCAAAAGGACAGAATCTCAGCGACCCATTCCTCACGCATGAATTTCGGAAACTGACAGCTAGCTGTGACGTACAACAATGTTAATCTTAATCATAAAGATCATACCATAAATTGGTCTAAACATACTTTCATGACATGATTTTTCCTAGACAAAGAAAGGAATTTTCAGAGAGAAAGCATTTGCAAAGCTTGTCAAATAAAACAATTGAAAAAGGAAGATGAAAATAGAAAGTGCTTCATACCGAAATAAGGCACTACACATACAGGACAGTACTTGAAGGAATTCTCAACTGTCACTTGATTCACAAAAATCACAAACGGCATGCTGCCC